ACAAAGAAAAACTTACTTTTTAAAAAAATATAGCTAGAATACACTCTAGAAGAAATAGAAAAAGGAGTTTTTCAGAGGAAAAATGATCCTACACAAAGATGTGTATTATACTAGATTTAATATCTGCTAAAGAATATTAAAAATACACAACCAATAGGTTAATATATGGAAAATGATATAATGAAATAAATTCTTGATTAATAAAAAATAAAATGAAGAAATACAAAAGTGAACACAAAACTGTTGAGAAAAATGGAAAACAGTTATTAGAATGATAGCTATAAACCCAACTTAACAGCAACAGCGTTACAAACAAATGTACTAAAGACTCTAATTCAAAGACTACTACATCAAATTGGATATGAAAGTAAATATCATATGCCACTCACAAGAGACATACTGATGTATAAGGACAGTGATAGTCACTTGATCTATGATGAACAATAAGGAAAGGAAGGCTTTTTTAACAAATGACGCTGGGTCAACTGAATATTCATACAAAAAGTGATTCTTGAACCCTACGTTTCACCGTGTATAAAAAATAATTTCCAGGTGCATTGTAGATATAAATGTGAAAGAAAAAACAATAAAGATTCTAGAAAAAAGATAGCAGAATATCTCCATGAACATGCCATAGGCAAACTTTTTTAAACACTAAAAGTGCTAACCAAAATAGAAAAGACTAACGGACTACATTAAAACTTGAAATTTCTATTCATCACAAGGCACCATTAAGAGAGTGAAAAGGCAAACCACAGACTGGAGAAGATATTTGCAACACATCTATCCAACAACGGACTCATTTACAGATATAAAGAACTGCATATCAATAAAAGAAAGACAATCTAAAAGACAAACGGGATACTTCACATAAGAGGATATTCAAATAGCCAATAAACGTGAAGACGTGTTCAAGCTCATTAGGCCTCTGGGAAATGCAAAATTAAAAGCGTAATTAAATACTACTGTAAACCCAAAAAGAATGACTAAAATTACAGAGACTGACAAAAATAACTGCCAGCAAGGATGTAGAGTGCCTGCAATCTCCAGATCACGCTGGGAGAACGTACTGCTACAACCACTTTGTACAAACATTTGACACTAGCTTCTGAAGTTATTTGCAAATCCAATTACCCAGAAATTCTACTCTTAGGTGTACCCTATAGAAATGCATACACATATCCACAAAATCACATGCTAGAATGTTCCTTGTGGCACCCTTCACAGGAGGGCAAAACTGAAAACAACCAACATTAAAATGGATAAATAAATAAAATGGATAAATTGTGACATTATCATAAAATTGAATAATATGCAGCAATGAGAATAAGCAAATCATGATTTGGATGGATCTCACAAACATAATGTCAGCAAAAGAAATCAGACATACACACCATATGATTTCATTTATAAAATGTTCAAAACAGGGACGAAGCAGCAGACAGTGACAGAAACGAGAAGCCATCATCTCAGCAGGAGGGTAACCGGACAGCATGAGATGGGCTTCCAGGCAGCTTCCATTCCTTGACCCAAGTGGTGATTAAATGGGTGTGATCTCTTGTGTACTTGGCTACAATTTTTACTAAAAAAAAAGAGAAAAGAATCCAGCAGATGTATATGCACTGACTTAGAAAGATAACCACGATATATCAGCAAGCGGAAAAAAAAAAAAAACTAAATTGCAGATCACCAAATATAATATGATTCTATACTGGTAAAGAAAACGAAAAGGTGAATTATTATATCCAAAATAAATCTATGAAGGATTTATTAACAATGTTTATCTCTTGTATTTTTTGCTTCATGAAATTTTTGGATTTTTAAAAAAGTGAGCATTGGTTACACATTTGAGACCAAAAATAGTCAACAGTAAAAAAGAAACAGTTTTCTAGCTGAACATTCCACAGTATCAAAGGTGTCCCCTGGGGTGGTGCAATGTGGTAGCCCTGACAGTGACGTCTCTCTGTGGTACCAAGTAGCTGAGTTTCAGCTGCTCTAGCTCTAGAGTCTCCATGGGGCAGAAGGGCAGATGACTTAGAGGAGCAGGTCCTTCAGACTTAAAGACACGCGCTTCCATCAGCCTCACTCAACTTGTGTTCAGGAGCAGATTTTGTGCAGTCTCTGTGGAACACTCACTGAGCAAAGGGAAAAACCCAAAAGGCCACCACGAAGCTGCCCAACTCAGTCCCAGAGAAGGGACGTGTGGTGTCGCCAAACACGTCAACTGTATGCTCTCACGTTGTTTACCTAACAAAAGGCACAAAGGATAATTACCATTTCCTGTGTCTTAGGTGTCACACTCAACAAGCTTACCTGTAAACCTTCAGATTAGTAAGACAAACTCCAACTTCTGTCAATCCTACTATCAAACATTCTTTTAGATAATCATGTTTTCCTCAACCAATTTATATCATTATAAATGAATTAAAAATTTCTGTCATCCAATCTATCGTTATACATTATTATGGGAAAGGAAAAAATGTTGAATTTCTAAGAAGTATACTTAAAAATAATGGGTAGCCTTTAAAAGACTTTTTATTATATCTGCCAAGCATATCTATTGTGAACAAAATGATTTAGGAAATAAAGATGTTTCCAAGTAAAACTTGAAAACACGCCCAAATTTGAAAAACAGAAGCTGCATGTGCAGGTGTATGCATGTGTACACAATCTCTAAAAACAGCAAATATATTATTTTCCCACATGGGAGAAATGGAGAACAAATTTTAGCCCATTTTCTTTAAGGAAGAAAACAAAACAAAACAAAAGCTCCTAATGAATTAAGAAGGCATTTATTCAAATCTATGGCCAGACCAAGAAAAAACAAAGGTGAAGATTTAGAACTTATGCTCAGATTTATAGGCTTACAAAAAATAAAAGAGAAATACTAAATAATCATTTAATGTCACTGTAGTAACATTTATTCTATTTTGTCTCATCCAGGTTAGAAGCAGAGAACAGGAGCTTCATTATAACAATAAGGATTGGTCCAGTATGAGGAAGAACTAACCAGGGGACAGAAGGCCAGGACACAAAGCAGGTGTTGTGAGTCCTGTAAATTTGCATGGACTAGGATGGATCCCTGAAGGCATTTTCTCAGAAACAGCGTTGTGGGCTCCCGGCAGCTGCGGGCTCTGCACCAGACAGGGCACTCCACCACACGCTCTTCTGTCATCACTGCCCAAGTCTGTTAACACAGACCTTCGCTGGGAGAAAATCACAATGTTTAAAGTAAAGAGCGCAATGAGTGCATGAATCAATAAATGCATATTGTTATAAACTTTTCATAAATAATGCAGACAAGAACAAGTGGATACTGAACAAGTTAGAAGAAATTTCATCCTTCACATTATGCAAATGCATTTTGCTAGAGATTTTTTTTTATTTTTATAAGGATGATCCTCATCACTACTTTTACTATGTGAACCACAAAATTGACGGTGTGTCTCTTTTAACAGGAGCATATACATAATTACTCTGTGGAGATATTTTCAAAAGTGTCAAAATATGAATTAAAACACTGACACTTTTTTTAAAACTCTTTACACAGTTCCAAAACGTGTGGTTTACGGAATGAAAGCTTGGTAAAATGGATTAGAACACTTGTATGCAGCAGTTTCAAGAATATCAGTTATTTATTTTATTTAAAGCCCTGTTCAGATTCCACTACATTATACAGAAATTCTTCTGGTTGGGGAGACACATGCAGATGCACAATGGAACCAAAGTATCTTAACTGCCCTCCGTTTTCTGAAGAAAGACCCTCCTCCCCATGTGGCTGCGACGAGACTGAGAGTTCTTGCACCGTCGGGAGAGCTCGGGGCCCGTCTGGAGGAGCAGGTGAGCTTTGCTCCCAGGAGCCACAGCCCTTTTCTTCAAGGACCCTTCTTCCCTAAGGAAAGGCGAGTGGGTAACTGCATTGCAGATGAAGCGCAGTGCTACCAAACTGTGCTAATTTGTTGCTCTTTGGGCAAGTCAGCAGAATATTCACTGATTTTCTTTTCCCGCAGAAGATAAACAGATGTCTACCATGTTCTGGGAGACACACACACATAGAACTACTAAGTTCTGTAGTACTTCAAACTACGTCTGAAGACACAAGGATACTAATCACATATTACCAATGTTCTCACCTGACCAAATAAAAATCATTGCACTAAATTAACACAACCAAGGGCAAATTTGTTTCTTAGATTGCTACAATATAACCTCAAAATTATGGATGAAATTCTGTCTATATTGAGCCTTAGTTGGAAAGAAACACAATTAAATGAAAATACGCAATCCTTGTTCCTTTACGCTAACAATCCCTCAGCTTTTTTTTTCGTGAGGAAGATTGGCCCTGAGCTAACATCCATTGCCCATCTTCCTCTTTTTGCTTGAGGAAGATTTGCCCTGAGCTAATGTCTGTTGCCAATCTTCCTCCATTTTGTATGTGGGATGCCACCACAGCATGGCTGACAAGTGGTGTAGGTCTATGCCTGTGATCTGAACCCATGAACCCAGGCCACCAAAGTGGAGTGTTCAAACTCAACCACCAGGCCATGGGGCCGACCCCAATAATCCCTCAGCTTTTAATGGTTAAACTTTTTCCCAGCAGCCTTCTTGCCTGTCTTACTGAGAGGTACATTTTCCAGTCCTCCAACTTATAAAAATGCAATGAGACACTTCTGGTTTCCGTCCATCGTCCTCTGCAGATGGCAGGGAGAGATTCTACCACTGAGACTTTTACTTTGACAGGTTTAGATTTTTCCTGTCATGAGTGAGGATCACAGAGATTACAGAGTCTAGTCCCTTCACTTTAAAAATGAGGAAATTAGGTTCAGAGCAGTGAAGTGACAGAACATTAGTCACAGGGTTGTGTCTAGAACACAAGTCTCTTGACTTCTGGGCAGCTTCTTCCCCCTTCCCCCACTGGAGAGATCAACCAACCAAACAAATAAGACATTCTTCACAACAAAAAGTATAGTCTGTGTTTTTGCTAATGTTTTTGTTTTTACTGCTGAAGAGATTATCCAAGTCAATATCTTCTTTTCCTTTGATTTTCAAACACTTTGTCTGCTGTTCAAGTCTGGGCAAAGAACAGAAATAGACTCTAGACTCATTATCCTGTGAGGAATAAATCGTGACAGCAGCACAAATGTAAACAGAAACCACGGGGTGGACAACAGTGAATTAGCAGGTATTTTGCTGCACAGAGCCTTATTAGAATTTTTCTTCAATTTAAGACTTAAAAAATAACACTTTTGTTCGGAAATCCTAACTTTGAAATTTGCAAAGTCCGCCTCTCCCCCCCAACATTCTCTTATAGCAAAAAGTTTCTAAACTCTGGAGAATAATCTCTTCAGACTCTGAGGAGGAGCTATTAGGGATGGTAGGTGATGGTGTGATAGGTGGGTAAATAATAATTGCTCCTGATGATTTCAGCACTTATTTTAATCAGAAAATTACAGACATTGTGCTCATCAATTGCATAAAGTACTTTAGTTCCAGTGTGGGATCGCAGAGAGTGAGTTACCGTTTAAACACTCCAGTGTGCAGCAAGGACTAAATCTGTACCTCTGTCATCACGGGACTTGATTAAAACTTGAGGCTCACAGTTTGTAACGAGGATGGGAATTTCTAAAATGAAAATTTTCCAGTGTTGCTAATTATCTAGTAATTAATTTCCAGTAGATAGAACTTGAGACAGTTGATTAATTTATCTATAATACTCATGGTTTTAAAGAAAATTATAATACCTTGCTTTGCAAATCTCTTTTCTGATTGCCCCTGGACAGGAGCTCTCTCATTTTCTCCTCACTGACAAGCCTTTGAGCTGGGCATGCAGTACTGTTTCTGTGTCTGTTTTAGATGAGGAAACTGATACAGTTACCAAAATCTTACATAGAAACCTAAGTGACTTGTACGTAACTTGTACATCATTTCATCCATAGGTGCTGTAAATAGGTTATGTCGTGGTAAAAATATATTCTATTTAGCAGTTAGATATTTTTTAACCATTAAGACTTTTTTCACCAAAAAAGCAAGAAACTGAGAAAGAATTGCCATTGAAATCCCATCTTTGGACCTTAAAAGGAGGTCCTATGTAGCTACTGCGGAGCACCCTAACTCCGGGCAAGGAATCACCTGTGCTGCAGCACAGAGACCAGTACACTCAGGGCAGGAAGACCCCTGTCCAAGCCTTAGCTCCGTGCCCTGGCTTTGTGGCCCAGAGCGCATATGTAAACTCTAGAGGTCTCAGCTTCCCCATCTGCAAAACAGAGACAGTACTTGCCTTACAGGATTTGTTCTAAGCCATCAGTGAAACAATACATCATAAAATAGTCTACAAACTCTTATGCACGATGGACATGCATAAAAATGTGTGGAATATTTTTATTAATTCAATATGTTTAACTTTCATAATATTCAATATATATATATCATCAGGACTTATTTACATTCTTGAGGAAAGAATATTAACGACAGAAAGAGAGAGCTTAAACTGAAGTAGTGAGCAGCCAGTGGAGAGAGCGGGTCAGCACAGAATGCCGGAGGCACAACATGTGCACCAAATAGCATAGCGTAGTCATTTTGCAAAGAATAAGATGGTAGAAAAAGAACAATTTTAGCTCTGCTTACATATTTTTGGCAAATCTGTGAGAATTTTCCCGAAAACTTTACAAATTTTATGAAACTGAGTTGATATTCAAACCATCTTAAAGCATCCCTCTGTAGTATATGCTGATGGAGATCTTGATTCTATCTTACAAAATTATAAAATAGAAGCTAGGATGCCTTATATAACTTTGATGGAAATTTTTAAAGAAATTTAAAAATAAATCAAATAAATTTACTGAGTGGCTTTTCAAAAAAATGCCAGGCACTGAAATTAATCACACATATATTTCAATATAGTTCTTGCTTTCAAATTATTACATCACGAGGGAGATACCCCAAGTCAAACTGTAAACAATTCAGATTTCCTGAGTGAGATAGGTAACTTCCAAGGGCTCCCAGATCCTTGATTTCAATTAACCTCATCTCGTTCTCAAAAAAATTCTGAGGTAGCAAGAGGACCCCTGTTATAAATAAAGAAATTGAGGATCAGAGATTTGAAACCACGTGCGCATCTTGGACACAGAGGGAGAGGAGGGCGGAGCTGGCCTCCACATCCAGGCTTCCTTCTACTCCACACGTCGTCTTCAAGTAGCACAGGGTTGCTGTGCATCTGCAGACGGCATCGAGGAGGAGAAGTCACAGGCGGAGCAAAAGGAAAGGAGCAATCATAGTCATAATGATGCTTCTGGGGGCTGGAGGGAGGATAGGGCTTGGTGCCGGGCTAGTCAGAGAGCTTTGCAGAGGATGCAGCCGATCTGGCCCTGAAAGAAGGGGGATGTGGATGACTGATAGATTTATAACAGTCTGGGGAAGTAGGATGAGAGAAAAGCAGGAACTGGAATACAGTGAGCATAAGCAAAAGAAGTGTTTTAGGGACATGAATAAGCACATCAACTTATCTGACTGAAACATCTGCACTGTGCAAGGCAAGGAAGGATCAAAAGGGAGGCTGGGACTTTGACAGGGCTTGCACTGAATCTGTAGATTGCTTTAGGAAGTGTGGACATTTTAACTACGTTAATTTATATAATGTTATAAACTAATGTTACCTCAATAAAAATAAATAGATATAGATAGATAGATAGATAGATAGATAGATAGATAAAAAGTGAGGCTAAAAAAAACAAGCTAGAGCCGAGCCATGGAAAGCCTTGCATGTTCTTCTCCAGTGTTTGGAAAAAGCCACTGAAATGTTGCATCCTGAAAGAATCTATTGCAAATAGTCAGTTGAAATGTTTGGAGACAATTAGACCAGTAATGTACCAGGATTAATAATTGTTTGTATTTTAGCTAAGAAGGTAATATCATTGAAATCTGCAGGTATTACTCTTTCACCAATAATTCTTGAAGCCTGGCCCCACCTTTCCACACAGGCCTCACAGCTCCAGGTGCTCTGCCCATCTTCAACACCTCTTATTAACAGCACCGCTGTTGCTGCAGCAAGTGTCAACTACCCGTCTGTCTGTCCACCTCCAACTCCTCTGCAGGAGCATACGGGGCTTAGAGGGTCACTGCGCCCGCTGGCGAGGCCTGCCTCTGTCACCCAGGTCTCTGTCATCCGTTGTTTTTCCTCTTGCTTTTTCCTTAGGATTTTGCTACTTCCACTTGAAAAAAAAAGGGCTGCATGATTTCAGACCCTCTCCCTATGCTCCCACTGCTTTAACAAGGCAAATGAGTGGCTACCATCTCTGTGCTCAGTAAATGCTGGGCCCTGAACTAGGTGCCTAACACCACGGAGGTGGCATTGATCTTATGTTTTTGTATTGAAAAAGGCAGAGAGGTTAAGTAGCTTGCCCAAAGTCACACGGTAAGCAGAAGAGCCAAAGTATAAGGGCTAGAATTTGAATTTACTTCAGGGTAGTCTAAATGTAGCTAGACACCCTCTAGAATAAGAGTTGCCAAACTACAGCCCACAAGTCAGATCCTGCCCATTGCCTGTGTTTGTAAATGAAGTTTTACTAGAACACAGCCACACTCATTCGTTTACTTACCATCACGGCTGCTTTCACACTACAATGGTCTAATCGAGTAATTATAACCGAGACCTTGTGGCTGGCAGAGCCTACAGTACTTACCAAATGGCCCTTTATGGAAAAAAGTTTGCTGACCCCTGTTCTAGAAGTAAAGGAAAAGGTCCTTAAGGCCAAAAATTATACATACGCATGTGATTGTTTTACATTGCTATCTTTTCCCAAAATTGCCTTCATAACTGTATTTAGTTATAACTTATAGTAGGGCTTGAAAGGCAAATATTGAGCTCTGACTTTTATCTTTAGACAAACTGTCCAAGTCCAGTCAACATGTCTTTGAGCTTCTCCTACAGGCAGGCATTGCCTTCAGCTGAGATGGTGTCTGCCACCAAGAGACTCACAATCTAACAGAGGATACAGGTGTGTGCGGCCAACTTCCACACAAAGGGGACCGAGAAAAGGGCTACAATAAAGAAATGAAGGAATTGCTATGGGATCACAAAGTAGGCAGGGATTTTCTGCTTAAAAGGTTGGAGAGATCAGAAAAAACTTTCAGGAGGAGATGAATTTGAATTAGGACTCAAAACAAATTTTACTAAGGGAAGCACAGAAAGGGACATTGTAAAGGCACAGAAATGCAGAGCGCTGGGGGTGAGAAGAATTAGTCGTGGAGAGTGGTCTGTGATGGGGTGAGCCGTGCGGGCTGGGGGCACAGTGTGGGGACTGCAGAAGCTTTCTAGGTACGTATGCATGTGTGCTCGCGCACATGTGGGTTTGTATATGTGAATTTATTATAGTAAAGCAAAATGGATCAAGGACCTGTGAGACTGTATCAATCCAAAGGAGTGATACAACATGTTTGGTTTGTAAATAAAAAGTAATTAAACTTTTAAAAATACTGCATTATAAAGCATCATTAAATGATATACATGTGAAAATGTTTATGTAGCATTATTTATATGGGGAAAAATACTGGAAACAACCTGTCAATGGGGGAATGAGTTCAAGTTAAGGTATATCCACACTATGGAATATGGTACAGTTATTAAAAATAATGCATTGAATCCATTTGTGTTGATATGGCAAATTATCCATGACATATTGATAAATAAATAAAACATATATATTTTGGCTAATAGTTTTTATCGTCAGACTTTCTTTGAGCCGGCAAACAATGATTTTGTATGGCTGTCCGTAAGGGCTCAGGTAAATCTCTTCTTCTTTGTGGGTGGACTTAGTTGTCTAAGTCTTTACAACTTTTCCACATAAAAATAAAGTCCAAGACCAGATTATTTTTCTCCTGGTCATAAATGCTGATTTATTTATAGCTGCATTGTTCAGACCACCATTATAAACTTGGGATAAAATATGTGTGTATTATATTAAAGAGCCTCAGCCTTTAATGTCAGGTCCTTTAAAGATCCGCTCATGTGTTAACCTTTCAGGAATGCAGTCTCCTTCTCCCACATTCAACATGGTTATATGCTAATCTATCCAG